CCTTCAGATTTGCATTTATTTCTACCCTCGTCACACTTGGTTGGTTTGGTTCTTTGTTCACGGCTTGTTCTTTAGCGCCCTTGGTTTCATCGGTTTTAGCCTTTTATGTAGGTTACACTTTTTTGCCCTGGGGAGTCTTTTGGTGTACGGATCTGCTTCAGCGTTTTTATTTCACGCGGTCCTTAGTGCTTTTGTGTGATATTTATCTTCGTAGTTTGTGCAGTTTCTTGGGGCTATTATTCCGGTTACTTATTTCTTAAAGTGAGTTTTATATCGGCCTAAAGAACCGCGAATATGCCGCGTAATTAATTTGAGTTAGTTTGGCCTGGAGAGCCAATATTAGTAGAGTTAGCGGCCTGGAGAGCCGCGAGTATGTCGCGTAATAAATTTGAATTAGTTTGGCCTGGAGAGCTAATATTAGTAGGGCTAGCGGCCTGGAGAGCCACCCACGAGTTTGTCGCGTAATAATTAATAGATAATTACTGAGGCCCCCAGCATTCGTAGGTATAATGCAGGCCTACGAATGCTGCGTGTCGAAGTGATTATCTAGTATAATTATTGTTCTTGTCAAAATCCAATTGTTTTCTTTCTAGCTTGTTTATCATAGAAACAAAGCCAATAATGAATGAACTAAATATGTCTGATTTTCCTCTATGCATTCGTTGGGATAATGCAGACTGAAAACAATAATTTGAGTTATCTAGATTGGCCTGGAGAGCCAATGTGAGTGGAGCTGACGGCCTGGATAGCCGCGAGTATGTCGCGTAATATTTTGAGTTAGATTGGCCTGGAGAACCAATGCTGCCTGGAGAGCCGCGAGCAGGGTGTTTTGTATCCAATACTTGTGTTGTACTGTAGTACGTTAAAGGGCTCGGAGAGCCACGGGAGCGTAACCCCCTCTTCGGCACGCGTGGTTGGGCAGCCATGGTTGTACACTGCGTTTTTTAGAATTAGGCCGGAAGTTGGTCTCGTAGTTTAAGAGTACTGACTTAATCCCTCTCTGCGTATTCTTACAGCTTGCAGATCGCTTAGAGCTGTTAGAACAGAAGGTTAAGGCTCTGGAAAAGGAAAAAGTCGTCGAGTTCTGCGAGAACGCCTTGGTCGCACTAAGGAGACACCTTAATAGGCCGGCGTCGCTGTTTGACCGTTACGAAGCTGTTGGAAACCCTGGTTTCCTGGTTCCCTGAAACCCTGTTATTTATGGAGAAAATTTCTTTCTCCCCTTTCTTGCTGTTCATAATCTGGGATTATCTTGTCGCGTCCTCCGTTGGCCCTGGGGGGCCTTCTCAGTGCTCTAATTTCGGACCTAGTTCAGAGCCTGGGGCCAACAGAAGGTCGGGTTTCCGGGGTTATCTAGTCGCGCTCACCCTTGTTTGGTTGTGGTTGCGTTCTAGGTAAATGGTTCCCCATTTGCTTCGAGACTTCACGTTGCTCAAAGGCTAATCCCCGAAGGGGCGATCCCCTTGAGGTGCATTACCGAGGAAACCCCACCCTTTGTTGGTCCAGGGCGGAGGCATTGGCAGACGTCCCGGTCTCTCACCCTGATAATTTACTGAGTGCTGTATAAACTTGTTTTTTGGTATTTTGTTCTGTTTCAGTCCTGGTTTTTACTGCTTTGGACTTCGTTGGGCTTTGTTCCTTTGGTCACACGTCCCAGCGCCGATTTCACACCGATTATACAGGATATTTGAGTAGTGGATAGTGGAATTATTAGCCGGCATCATGCTTTAAGTTTTGAGTATTGGATGTGGGTTTTTGAGTATTGGATGTGGGTTTTGAGTATTGGGTATATGGGGTTGAGCATAGTAAGAATAAAGGTTGGCATATTACTACTGGATTAGTTATTATGCACTACTACGACTGGAGTTTGGCTATATACCATCTCGTATTGTCGGGGACAAGGAGCGGATCTCGCCCCATAACTTAATCATACTGCGACGTGATAATGGCTTCAGTGAGGATATATTGTTATTGTCCGCCATTTTTAAAGTCCCTCCCCCAGACCTCCCCCAGGGACTTTTGACTCGTAACCAATATTCCTTGACCAATGGAAACGGACAGACAGACGGACAGTGACCAAGGGAAATAGAGGGACTTAGCTCGCAGTCTACCGCCATTTTTTTTCTCCCAACGCATGCGCAGTGCGTTTTTCACCAGTGTCCCCTTAACTATGGAATCCATTTTATTCGCCAAGTGACGTCACTGGAAGAATCCACGCACGTTGTTTTTAGAGGAAGCCATTTTGGATTTTCGATCACTTCATAAATGCACTTGTCATCAGCAGCATATTTCGAGTATTCTTAGTTTACTTTATGCTCTTTTTATTGGACCTTGAGATATGAGATTGTCGTATTTATCATCACGTTGGAAGAAGAATCCGAAAACAGCCTGGTTTGTCATATATTGGATCGATTACACTCGGTCCACATAATCTCAATCGTAGAGAAATCGTAGAACAATTTCGTAACCAGAAATCCGAAAAGAAAGGATTCTAGCCAATTTTTAATAGATTTTTTCATATATAGTGTATTTCTTTCTTTCTTTTTATATATTTTCACATTTATATTTGTAATCTTTATATATAATTATTTGTAAACTTAAGTTTTTTCATTTTATATTGCGAATTGAAGTATAAAATAAATATTATCTTATCTTATTTTATCTAATCAGAAGCCAATGATTTAAGAGAGAATTCTCTTCGTATTCAAGCAGTGAGCGCCAAAAACTATTTTCTTGAAGAAAGGCTGTTGTGCAAGGCTAAAATCTCGTTATTCAGAAAGTTTAACTTGTTTGGAAGTGGAGATGACCGATGAAAGTGGAATCAAAGTGTTAACCCAAAGCAAAAATTTTATTCGAAAATGAGGTTTAGGCCTTCACCTTGCTTATTTCCCATATATTTTCTATAAACAAGACTGACAAAGAAAGATTCTAATACAAATGCAACAAAACATCTTTGTACAATTGAAAATACCGCTTCAAACAGGCATTTTATCAT